TGCAAATTGAATTTCTGACTGAGCACGGAGAGATTGGGGTAAATAGGAGCAGGGCAGATGTCAGTTCATGAAAGAGCTGCATCATTGCATGAGCAGTGGAGTAAATCACCGTGCATTCTGCAGCCGTAATTGGCATTTGTGAAATAATCTGGATGAAAATGAACTCAGTGAGGTGCAGTGGCTGCTGGGAATGTGTCTGTCGAGGCTGTGCTGCAGAGATACACCTGGGCCTGTGCGTGGCTTCATCAGGTTACCCCAGCCCTAATCCGTGTTTTATAAACYGACCGCTGCAAACAGCGCCGCTCACAGCGACTCAAACGCTTTCAGATGTGTACAAACAACAATAATGAACAAGGGCACATGCTGAAATAGTTCTTTCCTCCTCTTGCATGGTCATCTGGAAGTCCTTAGAGCRGGGTCCGTGAGCACGCAGGGGTCAGTTTTCAAAGCAGCGTACGGGGATTTCGCCGCGCGCCTCCCATTGACGTTAATGGGAGTCAAACGGGTAAATCCCCACGCACCGCTTTGAAAATTTACTACTAAGCCTCTTGACTTCTCACTACATACTTTGATTGTAACAGTAATCCATGGTTAACATAATTTTCCCGACAATAATGTCAAACATACTTTTGAAGTCAGTGAATTATAGAAATAGTTACCTCTTCCATAATTCTTTAAAGATGGCCATCAGATGGATTTCACCGTGTGTTCGTGCAGTTGAAATTATTCTTTAACTCAGAAAAGAATATTTGTGTTCTCTTTTGGTGCAGAACTGATAGTCTGCTCACAAATTGAGTGCTGAGAAGCCTTAAGGTGCTCCATCCTGTGAYTAAGATCAGGTTCTAGCTGTGCCCAGCTTGAAAAGTGCATCACGCTTGTCTGGATTCTTAAGGGAACTTTGGAGATGGAAGCTGGAATTAAGCACAGGGAATGCATACCAGTCATGCAGTACAACCAGGAGTAATGATGAGGTCCAAACACCTAATCAGCACCTTTCTGGGGAAAAAAATCCAGGCTGTTGTCTGTCAGACCAGTGTAACTAAGGAAGAAATAAAGCAGTCATCCAAAAAAAAAAAAAAATCTAAGAAGATTTCATCTCCTAATTACAGAGCTACCTATGCCTTTATTATAAAGTGCTGATACAGAGAGTGGATGGTTCATAAAGCACCCAATAAACTGTGGGCAACACACAAATAATGAATGAATCAAGCTCTAATCAATTGGTGTGCAATAACTGTCAGTCTGGCTAAAATCCTGCTTGATAGTGCTTTTTTAGCTTAATTTTATTATATTTATKCATATAAGAATCTCAGAAAGTCCTAACAGAAAAAACATGAGCGGGGAGAAGTTTTGGGTAGAAGAGGATATTTTAATTTGCATGCCATGCTCCTGTAGGAGTTTACAAGCTGAGAAGTGCATTAAAACCAGAACTTTGTTCAGGAACATGCAGCCACAAGAAAAACTACATCGAGCRTATCTCCATCCTACAAACAGTTGATTGTTAACATGGCTGGCAGTGTTCTGGCCAAAATGAAAACCTTTGATTTGCTGTCACACTGGAGCAGAGGTAGAGCCAGAGGCACAGAGATCCAGCTCTGACACAAACCCACAGAGCACATGTTGGATGTGAACTACACGAGTGTGGGACACCAAAATCAGCCCTGACAGAGGTGAGATCACAGCTCTGAGGGGGAGAAAGGTGCATGTGGTGAATTTGAAGTGGCTGAGTGCAGAGCTGAGCCAGAACCGTCACATTGTGCTGGTAACGCGACGGAACGAATGCATGAAGGAAATCATTCCAATTTGGAGCTGAATTCCAGCACAGGGAGCCCTGAAGCTTCTTGACAAGCATGAGATTACCTCAGGTCTCTACACCACCTAGATAGAGCTGAGGAACCAGAAAAAAGGCATCAAAAACAGGTGTTAGGGTGGGATTTTTATGAAACCAAGGGATGTGACATTTTTACCCATTCCACCACAGACATCACTGAAGACTGGATGGGTTAGTTAAGAGTRCAGTGTCCTGTTCTCACTGCATCTCAGAACCTTATTTGACATTATAAATGTCAATTATATTAGATTATAATTATGGAAACAGGAAAGGCGAGCTCTCTGGGTGTCTGCAGGCATGTGCAAGGCAGGCAGCACCAAACAAACAAGCTTTGTAGTGCTCAAATGCTATTGTTTGCTCTTAATTTGGAAAAATATCCAGCTCTTAGAGAAGAGCACATTGGGAATTTCATCTATAACTCTCAATTAAATTGAATTGTGCAAAGCTTATTTCTATAAATGAGAAAATTAAAACCTTTTGGTTCAAGAAGTACACAAAACTAAGTAAAACTAATGATTTATTGTTCCCAAATTAAAGCCATAAGTGCACTCAGTACAATTGAGTTGTAGTGGTTCTTTGTTCCAACACTTTTATGCTGCTGAAAGATGACAATATATAATCTTTGAAGGAAGATTTGTCTTAGCTTTAGGTATTTATTGTGTAATTAGCCCATCTCTGAACAAACCCACTGCATGTTAATTCCRATATTCTTCAAATGTGTATTTATCTAGGTCTTGCTCACGTGGCAGGCAAAATATTTGAGATTAATACAAATTGTTTGTTTTCTTTACTTGTCAGTAAATATCACAGAGAAATTTCTAAACCATGAGGGGTTTTTCATACCTAATCATGGAACTGTGGGAATCAGGTCCTGAAATTCCAGAGAAATATCAGCTCTTCTGTATTTCAGCCTTTGCTTTGGCTTGTGTGGARACTCGTGTCTCCACAGTCCCTTCTGTGCAGTTTTCCTGGCACTAACAATTATCACACCAATAATTTCATTTGTGATGTGGTTTTTTTTCAGATATAATCCTTCAGTATAGCAGTAACATTAATCMTGTAAGTGCAGAGAAGGGAGGCTGCTTTTCACTTGAAGGAGGACAGAGAGTAAGGTGCCATTATTTAGTTCAAAAATAGTTTTTGCCCCTTGCCAAATACTGATGGCAAAACTCAGATTTTTTTCTGTAGGTACCACCCCAGTTCTTCAGAAGTTTCCTTGAATGTTTATTTTTTGATTTATTTGCCTGTAGAAACTCCTGTCCTGCCATGCTGCATAGACAGACATTGTATGTTTTGGTTCTCGCCTTAGATTTTTAATGAACGCTCRTTTTCTTTGTACTTTTTCACTTTGTGTATTTCTAGATTAAACAAACCCAGTTGCAGGCTGATATTTGATGTGTTTGTTCCAGATGTTGGTGGAAGAACAGAAGTTAAAAGTTGGCATAGCTCAGGCAYGAGGCATTGAATTGATTATTTTAGKAAGGTACAAACCACCTGCAATTGCAGTAAAACATCTCTGAGCAGCCAAGGCTTTYGTGCTGCTTCTCTGTGTCTGCTCCATTTGTGACTTYTCCCAATGAACAAGAAATTACAGGAGAAAAATAAAAAGCACTACTTGCTCCAAAACTTTGGAAGAATTGGGATGTTATTATTTGTTATCCTTCAGAAACTGAAAATTGAAATTGAAAATCATCTGTGTTGCAGCATTGGAATAACCTCACTCGTGGGTGAGAGTCTGTTGTAATTTCCAGTGTGAATTCAGATTTTCAAAGAATTAAGCTGGAAGATAAAAGATTACTCCTGAGCTCAAATTCCTGGAAATGTCATTCCAGGCTTAAATTAATCTCATCTTGGAACTTGATACCGACGTGAGAGGTGTGTGACCCAGAAAAGGAGGAAAAAGGGGCTTTGCATTTTTACACCGTGTTTGTTCCTGTAACTTCAAAGGCATTTTTAACTTGGAAAAATAYGCCCATATGCATATGTGTAATGAGCAGCACAGCAGTGGCAGTTCTCAGCGAGGATCACTTGTCTGCTAAGGTCACTTCTCCCAGCACACTGCACATCCCCACTGGGAATGGTGGGAGTGGAGCCAGTCAAGAACTGGGACCAATGTGACAGATCCCCCATCCCAACCAACCCCTCAAAACGCTGCTTCTGTGATAGGTGTGGCACAGAAATGCTGCTTTATTAACCAGCCAAATGRATGGCTGAGGGCTGACCTCAGCTGAGCCTTTATCACTGCTGCCCTGCTGGTGAACTCTCAGGCAGAGCTTTTCCATGGAATTCAGCATTTCACYACTCCTGGCTGGAAAGAGTTAACGCTGCGCTCGGAAGCTGCGCCGAAACGCAAGACCTGGGCAAAGCTGTGATTCCTCGGGAAAAGGCTTCCAGTAGAGCCCCAAAACTAATCATTTGTTCAGCTTTTTAGTTGTTCTTCAAATTTCTTTCTCRCTGTAAAGCCATCTTGAATCTCCAGTAAAATGTAAAAATATTCCACCAGGGAGAAATACAGCGACCAGGCAGGGGGGATGCTGCTCCCTGGGCTGTGTTTTTGCAGCTTCCCTAATCTTGACAGCTCTGGTAGTTGCCCCTGGGATAGAAAGAACAGAAAAAATTCAGAACAGTCCATAAAGTTCCTGTTGGTCTGAAAGCAAAACCATCTGCTGGAGCCATGAAGTTTGTTAGGGAGTTCAATAACAGGAAAGCCTGCAGTTGATCAGCTGTGCTCTCCAAAACAGGCAGCAGGATTTAGTGTAGGGAGCCAGGAGATGTGGGGAGCATCAGGGCAACAGCAAAATAGGTTAAAATAATGGGTTTGTATCTTTGGTTTCAAATACAAACCTCTGAGAAAGAAGTGTGGTCATTGTGATTTCATACTTGGATTTTGCTGTGGATCCTCAGGTGTTTGTGTTCTTTAACAGGAGTTCAGATTAGACAGACACATCCCTAAGCTGTGCAATCTTTGCCATGGAAAAGAGGAGGAATCTTTTCATCCCATTAATATTTATATTTGAGCTCTTTTTGTGCTTCCAGCAAATCAATTCTCACAGATTTAGGAAAACATATTCGTTGCTGCTTTGCTATTAACTTATTGAAAAAGCTTTTTTTTTGTTGTTTAATAATTTAACAGTAAATCTGATTTTGAATTTTGTGGGGTTTTTTTCAGTGGTGCCACCGGGGAGCCCTGGGCCCATCACCCGGCACGAGTCCTACGACAGCTTGGCCTCGGACCACAGCGGGCAGGAGGATGAGGAGTGGCTGTCACAGGTAGGATTTTGGGGGCTCCAGGTCAGGACAGTGGCAATGGGAGCCACTGGGAGTAAAATTCACAACTTTCCTCCAAGTGGGAATTAACCTTCCAACAGCCACGGGTATTGCTGTGTGTAAAACCGACTGCACTCCTGAGTTGTGAATCTGATGGTTTCAAACCACAACAATCCCCATCATTCCTGGCACAGTCACATCCCTTGGAAGCTCAGCAGGAATTGGGAAGTTTCAGCTGGCAACAGCAGCTATCTGTCTCCCTTTTCCTCCTGGCATGGTCCTTTTTGGACAGGGCTGAAAGAAGTTGGCAGAGTGACKGTGCCTTTGGGGTGGTGACCTGTGACTCCCTGCACCTCAGCATAAAAATGGTTCATTCGCTGGTTTAATTCCTTCCTTCCCTGGTTATCATTTCCTACTGATAATTCCTGTAATTTATAGCCACATATAAATACTGAATTGCTTTAAAGCAGTCATGCTTGGTGGAAGATTTTTATGAGGCCAAATCTTTGTCTTTTTATCCAGTCTTGCTTTGTCTCCGTCAATGAAGCTTCTCTATAAGAATTCAGTAAATACTTGACCATTTGGCTCAAAACAGAACTTCAGTGTAAGAATGTAGGTCATGAATAATACACTGAGAATTAGTTGCTGTTCGAAATGAAAGGTTAGAGKTAAATAAATAAATAAAATTTACAAATGCTCTGGATTTGCCAAAGTAATTACAAGGTACGTGATCCATAGAATTCACCCTGACAAATTAGGTGGGTTTCCTCTGGTTTGAGAACAATGTTGTTATGGGAGCGATGCATTAAATGTGTTGCTGGGGTGTATGGCATGAATATGAAATATTTATGGATGGGATTTACTTCTCCCACTGGTGAATAAATCATACACAGCTTTTTCCTAAATGAGAGGTTAGGTTTCCACATGGACCTGTCCAGGAGGAGCATTCACTGGGGAATCCACTCATGTGAATTCACTTACCTGTCTGAGGTTTCAGATGTGGCTGCACATTGAGGTATCTCATTTGTTTGTGCTGTGTCTGATTTCTCAGAGCACAAAGATGACAAAACTTCTCAGTCAGGGTAGTCAACCGAAATTTTTTCTCTGAGCCCACTGGGGCCAGATTTCACCTGAAGTTTTCCACCTCCAGGACTGTTTGGAGGCATTTGCTTATTTTACTGTTCTGGTGAAACCTCAGGAAAAAAGATTATGGTAAATCTACCTTCTGGGTGTTTATTAATAATTCTTGGAAGATCCAAGATGTCAACAGAATTTCAACAGCTTAAACTTCACCATATCCATCCCTCTAGAAGAGCAAATATATTTATAAAGGGAAAAAAAACACCCAAGTGATGTCACAGAACAGAGATAATTTCGAGAATGCCCCTGGAATGTTTAATTCTTGCTGAGAGCAGAAGTGATGATAGCCCTCGAAGCACGGCGACGCTGCCGTTCTCCGAGCAAGCCACTTCACATTAAACCCAAAGTGCAAGGATGTTTTTCAAAATTAAAGTGTTGTTATCAACAGTAACAGCAAGCAGTGAAAAAACACCGCCCTTCACTTCAACTTTTCAATTAGAACAGTGGGTAATGTGTGCTGTCAGTGGGAAGTAGATACAATATGTTTGTCCTGCACACAACAGGAGAGTGAATAGGAACATCTGGCCGTAGCCTCAGTAAAATTGCAAAGGCATCTGTTTACCTCTCGGCTCTGTGACACTGATGGTTTCAAGCTTAAAATACACAGATTACTTTATCTGTGGCCTAATTTACACTGCTACATAAAAGCTACTTGCCTCAGAAACGGCTGCAGCCAAGCTGAGTTAGGCTGAGCTAAATGCAAAGATGGAAATAGAGCTGTAGAGGCTGTGGTTGTTGTCTCACATTAGGAGAGAACTGACATCATCCAGGCTTTCAAATTGCTTCTTAAAGATGGAGACTCGCTACTGATACACATCTATATATTTACACAAAAATCTATTTTCACAAATTCCCTCGCTAAAGTGCATTTCTGCTGTGAGGCTGATTGTTGTTTTAGCAGAAATTGATAAGAATTTAATAGTCTATTTTTGTCATCTTAAAAGTAGGAGTTCAACAGAGCTTAATATTTTTATTTTTTGTTTCCTTTTTCTGCTCTTTAAAAACTCTTCTTGATTTTAGTATTGCATTATAWGATCTTTCCAGCCTTAGTGATTCTATTCTCTGATTACAGAAGTTCTATGCTTTGTTTACCCTTTTGTTTGCAAGACCCAGTTTTCCTGAACACAGCCACCCTATTTTGGTTGAATTGTCAGGATTTTGGTGAAATGGCTGTGTTTTTGTGGACCCAAAGTGAGGCACATCCTTGAGTGTGTGTTCCTCTGCTGAGTGACCCAGGCTCATCCCCAGGCTCTCAGTTATGTATCTGGTGTTTGCCACAAGATGCTCCGTGCCAGCCCTCTCCTCACATGTGCCAGCAGGAATTAGGAGCTGTGGTTTGAAATCCAGTTCTCACTGTGTCCGTGGGAAGCAGGGTTGTTTGAGGTGTGAACTTCCACAGAGCAGCCATGCCAAAGCTGGAATGAGCTCTCCAAATGCACATCCCACGCCCTGGTCGGGATGGGGGATGTCTGGGAAGRCAGAAATGTGTCCCTTCTTGGTTACACCATGAGGGCAGCACCATTGCATTCGGGTTTTGGGGTGTATTTCATCCTGGCAAGGAGAGGAAAGAACAGGATCTGGTGAAGTGGTGGCCAGGATGGACCGTTAATCTTCAGAACAATTTAAAAACCAGGGTTCAGGCAGGCTGGTGTTTCTCAGGCTTTCAAGTCTCTGCAAGAAGCTCTTGGCTTCGGCTAAAGCATCCATTCATTCTCTAGCAAAGACATCCCCAATTTTCCTTTGTCAAACATTCCTTTAATTGATGAAATAGTCCTTTTGAGAACAACTTATTTTTCTCCATGCTTGAGAACCACAGCACAGCACAGCAACTCATCCCATCTCCTCTTTACTGTGATCTTGGGTCTCCATTTTTTTCTTACATCTCCTGGCTCAGAACACTTGAGGACAGCAGGATTCCAGGAGTCCAGCCTACTGAAGCAACCCTTCATTCTATGGAGCTGCAGCTTTGTGTTAATCATTTCCCATATTCCCTCCCCACAGGTGGAAATCGTGACTCACACTGGGCCCCATCGCCGCCTGTGGATGGGTCCCCAGTTCCAGTTCAAAACCATCCATCCCTCTGGCCAAACCACCGTCATCTCCTCCAGCTCCTCTGTGCTGCAGTCACACGGGCCCAGCGACACCCCRCAGCCCCTCCTGGACTTTGACACAGATGATCTCGATCTCAACAGCCTCAGGTAAAAACAAAACCAATCTCTGTGCTGTCCCATATTTGCTGTGTGCAGTTTGCCTCTCACCACAAGTGTAGGACGCAGTCACAGACTTATCCAGGGGAAAATCTTGGAAGAGCACGTGATGCCAATGAGAAACCCATCCAAGCAGCTYAGGTTCCTTTTGCTGCCCCTTCCTGGGCACATGATGGGGAAAGCCAGGACAAAGTCYGGTGGCCTTGCTCAGGGTCCTCTTGCCTTTCACAGTTTCTGCATTGCTAAATAAATTCATTTTCTCAGACATGGGTGAGAGCTTTATGCCATGAATTTAGACAGCGGCCAGTGTGTTGGAACAGTAAGTGAACTTCTGGAATGTTTTCCTCCTCCCTGTTTTTTTTTTCCCCATTCTCTTTCTTCCTTCTTTGTAATTCTTTTTCATGTATTTAATTAATCTGATTTTGGACACTGGCTGATTTGGAATTGGGGGCAGGGGGTGGGCTTAGGGAATGGAATGAAGGAGAGYGAAGGTAACTGTGGGTTTATATTTACTGGTGATTTGGAGGAGAGATTTATGCTCCAAGTGTTTGTGTCCTGCCCGGTAACTCCAGATTTAACAAGTTTCCATCCTCCTGACTCTGCATGTGATTTGAAGTCCAAAGTTCTGTGGTAGGGACTTGGATTGTTTGGGACTGAAACTCTTAGGAATAAGGGAAGAGAGATGGATAATATGAGTAATCCCATTAAAAGTGGGCAGGTTGTCCTTGGGCTGGAAATCCATGGGTTTGAATTGTGTGATTTCTCCTGGTGTGTAATTGCAGCCATGATTAARGAAATGGCTGTCAAATATATTGCTTTTTTATTGCGTATGTGTATACATGTGCAGAAAGAAAGCAGAAATAAAAAGAAATAATACAGATCTATGTTACCAAATGAATCAACAGTTACAAGTGGGTCTTGAAAAAGGCTGCTGCTGAGGAGGGTGATGGAGGCTTTTTAACAGTTTGGATAGGGTGACCTTTTTCCTTTGAGGGTTCCTGAGAGCTCCCCTCTGAGCCGTTTTTTGGGAATGCTTACTTTGTGAGTCTCTGGCTGGATTATCCCCATCTTGGCTACACCAGGTGATGGAAAACAAGTTTTCAGTGTTTTTCAACACAGTGAAATTGGTGCTTGCTTTAGCTGATTGAGGTTTGGGGTGGCATTGGGGTGAGTTTCCTGACTGTGTCCCTTGGCAGGATCCAGCCGGTGCGCTCGGAGCCCGTCAGCATGCCGGGCTCACCGCGGCCCGTGGCCGACCGCCGGGGMGTCTCCACGGTCATCGATGCTACTTCAGGTAGGAACACTTCCCATCTTGATTTCTGTTCATATTCATGTTCATCAATCTGCTCTTTTGTTTTGGCTGGTAATGTGTTTGCTAACCATTGCCATGAAGGTTGTCCTGACTTTCAGCTGCACCACAGGGTAAGTGCTGTCTTGGACAAATACTCAATCCTGCCAGAATGGGGATTTTTTTCTTTCCCCCCTTACCACTCAAATGTGAAGTCCCAGCATTGTGGTAAGATCTGAACACAGTATTTATGTGAAGTTTAACATGAGCTGTAGAATGCTAAAAACTGCCTAAACTAAAAAGCAGAACATTTACAAATACTAACTCTGAAATGCTTTTATTAATGAATGCCTAAAGTATAGAATATTACAGTTCCATCTCATTTATAAAATAGCTTTCATTGAAATGTAATCATAAAAGTAATTGATTTCTGTGAACAGTCAGGACAACAAGAGAGTTTATCTAATGTTTGTGTAATAGGCACATTTTCACTGCTCTGCTCTGAAAAGAGTGTGTAGATTTAATACCACAGTGGTTTTGTTAATATCAACAGAGTAATAGATGTACTATAAAGTTCTCTTTTCCCCTCAGTGGTGGGGAATAGTCTGTCTAAAGAAACAAGGGCAGCAGAGCTTTATGTTCCAGTGCAGCTGTACAGYATCTGAGGGTCCACACAGCAGGATTTTGTCAAATAAAATCTCTCACAAGTAGAATTATTAAACACACAGCATTAGTCAAACAGTCAAGTCAGAGAGGATTTTAATCTTTAGCGATTTGAAAATCCCTGGAGACTCCTGATTGGATTGAGGTTAAACTGTAAAAAGAGACTGTAACACTTACAGAAAARGAGTTCTGAAGGTTGGTTTAAAGAGAGTTAAAATAAGAGCTCCTGTTTCAGACTGTGTTTGCTGCTGATATAAATGCAGAGTCCACGATGCTKCATTGTTTGCCAAATGAATTTATTTGGGTATTACAGGATATTTCATATGTGTGTTTATAACAGAGTTCAATAGTAACCACATTTACTTTGGGTATTGAGAATTGTCCTTATAAATTCCATTTTCAAATATTTGAAAGTTGTTAAATTAATTCCTGTTGGGCTTAGACAAACATCTGATGCTGGTTATTTAAAGGGAATTTTGTTTRTTTTATTACATGACAAAGTAATTTTGAAAATAATTGTTTGATACAGAAGAAAATATCAATGCATCAGATTTTGGGGTTCTTTTGGTATTAGTTTATGTATGCTTACTGCTCCTAAAGGGTTATTCTTTTGAATCACTGGAGTGTTTCAATCTGTGTTTGTGACACTAGAGATTCAGAGTGATTAATGGCAGAGCTGTGCCTCACTATCAGCTGATACAGAGAGATCTCAGGATTATCAGGGTGGGGATTTTTCCCTCTTGTGKAGCAGCAGTGCCTTTACCTGTAACAGGGATGTGCAGTAATTCTGAAATGTGACCTTTCTGTAACTGTAGCATTTTGTAAAGCTCTGTTACTCCATCTCCAATAGAAACATGGGACTGTGCCTCTTCCACCTAAACAGCTTTTCCCGAGGTGTGGATGGGGCTTTAACATGAGCTGACTCCTGTGAATGTGATGAAGCTCCATTTGTAATGCCTTTAACATGTGTGTCCATATGAAGATTGCCAARTCCATTGTATTCATTGTTAGGACACTGAAAATATATTTACTGTGCAGCAGTGACTCAGTTGGGTTACAACACCTCATACGTTTCTTATAAACAATACATAAACAATACATGAGTTTTGTTAGGGACCTGCTGATGGCAACATTTTATTTACTCCACCCAGATAGGTTGGGTTGGAATTTATTTTTGATTTAGGCATTTTTAGCATCTCTTTGCAGTTTTTGTGTTGCCTGATCCTCACTCTTTCCCATGGAGAACTCAGGGGTTCAAATCTAGATTGTGTGATGGTGTAGGGGTGTGAATTGTTGCAGAGTGAAGGAGACACAAGGAAAAAACTTTTCTGTATTTGGAGATTTCAAGGTGTTCTTGTAGCAGAGCCCAGGCAAGGGAAGAGTATTTTATGCTTCTTTTCTTCTCTTCCCACCTCTGAGATGTTCAGAAAACTCCATTAATCTCAGCTGTGGATGGGAAGGGTTTGCTTTAAACACCACTCATGTACAGCATTGGATTTTTGTGTTCCAGTCCACCACTTCAAGTGTTCTCATTTCCTGCTCTTCCCACAGCGTGCCCTAAATGGCTGATGGTCTTTATGGAAAAGACATTTTTAGGTTTGAAGGATTTTTAAGTAGGTCATAAATTTTTTCCTGCCTGAGCTGAACCAGGAAGTGATTGTTCAGCTCTGCCCCTGCATTGGAGCCTGTTGCACTTTATGAAGATGCTTATCTGGAGCTTTGATTGCCTGTTGCTTGGAGATACAACCCGTGTGGCGCCTCTGCTTATCTGACTCATCACTTCTCCTTCCTATCAAAAGACTTCAAGTACATGTTTATCATCTCCCATTATCCTCCTGCCATTCTCAATAGCTTCCTTCCTTCTCCCCCRTTGGTGGCAGTTCTGTTGGTGCATTTAATAAGCAGTTTGTGTGCTTTTTTTAGCGTGGCTTTTCTCATGTGACTGTAAAACCGTGGACAATCCTGAAAGATGCTTTGCAAAAATCTTCATTTAAAAAGCACAAATCTCTAATACTGTTATTAATGAAAATTTCCATTGGCATTCTCAGGTCGGATGGCTAAATCTGTAAAGATTACATGGGTGCATTTAAAAAATAYTTATTTCAATATGTTTCTCTTGACTCTAAATTCTCCTAAGGCGCTCTTCTCTRGTTTATTTTTTCAAGAAAATTTTGCAAAAATTCGGTCACCTAAAGCTACTGGACATTTGTCCCTCAATGCACACATTTCAGTCATATGCACCACAGAGAAAATATACCCTCAAGGATTAATTGCACTGTAATTCCAGATGCTATTCCAGATTGGCAGCTGGAAATGCTAAAGGGACAAGAGTGAGTTGAAATCTTTGTAAAGCAGGAAGCCTTTGGTATAACACAGCACTGTCCAGGTAGGAGCTGCTCTGTGTGTGACAAGCAGGGGGTGTTTGCCCATCCTGCCCAAAGGTGGGCTTGGCACAGCTGGGCAAAGTCTTAGTGAGTCAGGTTCCAGGTAAGACTTCATTGGAGCCCAGAGATGAAAGAGAAACCTTAAGGAGTCCTCCGGTGTGCAGGTGATGTTGAAGCTGAAGGTCTTTACACACCCAAACCAGCCAGGCACCTCTCTGGGTTTTCATTCTGTAACCTGCAGAGATGACACACGTCATAAATTTATCATACATTACTTACTTGAAAAATCTAACTTGATAGAACTCTGTGAATGAGCAGAAATGAAGGGTGTAGGAAGGTACAGTCAACTCTGAGCTTTTAAAGCTGGAGAACCTCTAGAGAAAGGCTTTTGCAGCAGTTGCTGGTCAGTGAGTTTGCAAAAAAGTGTACACTGTGTTTCCCTTCAGCTGCAGCCCTCAGGTGTGCTCAGTGACTCAGGCCTGCTCATTTAAGAGAAGTGGCTGTGTCTGTGTGTCTGGCTATGAAAGCCTTGTTTGTTCCCTCACACAAAGAGGTTTGGGACACTCACCCATCAGCCGAGTAATCATTTGGTTGCATTGCTAGTGGAGGATGAGAGCACTGACAGAGAAATTGTCTGATCTCTTTTTTGCATCAGCCACTTCCTTTCCTGCTGGGAGGAGATCATAGAATAGGATCATAAATCTGTTTCTATCTTGCTCAGGACAAGTGCAGAAATTGAGTGGGAAGGATTTCAATGAATSGCATTATTTAATGAATAAAATTAATTTTGTAGAAGGAAAAGATCTTGAGGATTTTTTTCCTCTTTGATGGGGGGGTGGGGGGACCTTAATGTTCTCAKCTGAAACCTGTGAGTGCTGTGCTGCTGGGGGATGCACACATAATTTTTTAATGAAGATTGTTTATTACTGTTGTATGAAACTCTGACAATACTAAGCTCTCTTCTGGTTACTTCAATCAATGCCCACTTAAAATCAGCTTGTAATTTAGTACTTCCCTTTCTTTTGTGTGTGACTGGCTGGTCATGGACAGAGAGCTCTGCCTGCAGAGGGTTTAATGAACAGAAGAATTGACTGGGGTTTTGTGGGGGAGGGAGTTGTCCTGCCCTCCCCGCTGCCTGTGAAAGATTTTAKTGTTCATCACCACACCTGTGAGACAAGGACCACGGGACAAATTTATACTGTCCAGCAATGCTCTCACTTGGAGTTTAATAAACACTTCTGCTGTCACACCTTAAACCATCTGARCTCCTTTCTGTTGTATGCACGATCAAATATTTATTCCCAAACGCTGTACGGCACAAAGTGCTGCCTCGGAGTAGCGGAGATCAGTTATTCAGGTAGTAAAGATGTGTGAATGCAGCTGGCAGATGAAGGCACCAACATTGTGAATTCCCAGGCTGGCCYCACTGCCACAGGCAATAAATGCCATGCCTGAGCTGGGGTTGGATCTGTGTTCAGGGCCCGGGGAGCTCCGGTGTCACGGCTGCTGCAGCTGCCCTGCTTGACAGGAGCCAGCCAGGGCTGCAGGGATGTGAAATCCATCTGGGCTGCAGCCCTTGACCTGAACCTGTAATTACCTGCGCGGGATAAAGGTGGTTTGTTGTGGCAGATAGAGATTGCACTGAGAGCTGCAGAGAATAATGCTGAGCTTTGAAGGCAAGGGAGGGGTTTGGCCCCTGCTCTGTTCTTCACAGCAATTGAGAGGTTTTAATAATGGGCAGAGAACRAGCTGCTCAAAGGGGGCATCACCTGTTCAGTAACACAGAAACACTGACCCAGCAYTGCTCCTTTGTGCTTATGTGTCCTGTTAGCTCAAATTTATGTGAGTTCAAGTTATGATTCTTTCCTGGAATAACTTCTGTGCTGATTCTGTTAATATATCAGTTTAAAATGCTCATTACATTTCCTATCTGCATAACATCTGATGCATTATTCCTTG